GAGAGAGCATGGCCCTGCTGATGCCTTGGTTTTGGACTTCTGGTCTCCAGAACCGTGAAAGGATATATTTCTGTCTTCTAGGCCACCAGTTTATGGTGCTTTGTTCTGGCAGAACTAGGAAACCAACCCAGGCAGGGAACGCCGATTTTCTTCTTCCAAATGCAGTAGAGTAGGAAGGCAGCTCCAGGTCAACGGTCTCATCTGCTTACCTTTGAGATGGGTCAGCTGAACCTGAGAGGAGCCCTAGTGAACCCAGAACACTGCCTTAATGTCATTTCCCTCACATCTGCGTGTTCACATAGCGTCCTGCCTTGGTCCGTTGGGCTCAAGCCTATGGGTGAGGCCCCCACCCCTACATAATGTCAGGTTCTCAGTGGGCTAGGCCCCGTGCATGGTGATGAGAACAGTGGGCAGTGCCTCTGTTAAAATAGACTGGGACTCCGGCTTTCTTGAAGGAAGTCAATCCTATAAGGACTGGAAAGGAGTCTGTGAGACCTGATTCTGAGCTCTCACACTCAGCTCTGTGCCCTCAGGGACTCTTTAGACCTGATGATGCATAAGGACCACGGCATCCTCTCCACTGAGCATTTAGTTTGCAACTCTGCCTTCACAATCTCAAGGTTGTTCATACTTGGGTCAACTGGCACTTCTATCTTCTCATTCCCCTTTCTTTAATGCAATAATTGATACAATGTGATACTCCTTTACTCCCACTAGAATGTGTAGAATCAAAAAGACAGATAGCAACAAGTGTTGGTGAGTATGTGGAGAAGTTGAACTCTTATAGATGCTGGCAGGAATGCAAAATGGTGTAGTCACTTTAGAAAACAGTCTGGCCGTTTCTCAAAAAGTTAAATATAGAGATACCACATGACCCAGCAATTCTACTTCTGGGTGTATACTCAAGAGAAATGAAAAAGGATGTTCACACAAAAACTTGTATATGAATGTTCCTAACAGCATTATGCATAATAGCAAAAAAGTGGAAATAACCCGAGTGTGCATCAATGAATGAGTGGATAAACCAAATGTGGTATATCCATATAATGGAATATTATCCAACCATAAAAAAGGAATAAAGTCCTGATACACATTACAACATACATGAACCTTGAAAACATTATTCCAAGTGAAAAAAGTCAGTCACAAAAGGCCATATATTGATTCCACTTATAGGAAATGTCCAGAATAGTCAAATCCATAAAGACAGAAAGTAGATTGGTGATTGCCAGTGGCTAGAGGGAGGGAGGACTGGAGAGTGAATGCTAATGGGTATGGCTGTTTGGGGGAGTGTGACGAAAATGTTCTGAAATTGGACAGGAGTGACAGATGTACAATTTTGTGAATATACTAAGAACTAGCAAATTGTAAAATTTAAATGGGTGAATTTTGTGCTTAGGTGAATTGTATCTATCTATCTAGTCAGAAAACATAATGATGCCCTCTAAGCCCTGCTCATGGATCAAATACAGATAAATGATGTTTGACTTCACACGGAGCTGATGGATTTTCTTCTCCTTCCAGAGCCTCTCATTTAGGTGTTGTACTTCATTCACACCTGCTGCAGACTCCTCTATAGGAGAATACGAGGCTAAGAGCAGCATCTGATGATAATTTTCCTGCCAACCATGTGCTCCATGGATGGGAGCAATGAGAGGCGAGAGACGGTGAAAGCAACTGAAGAGAAATTTACTACAAAAGACAAAGAGTCAAGGGCCAATACTGAGAAATTGCCATGGAAACAGAATAGCAGGACACGTGGAAATAAGGAAGAGTTGTCAAGGAGCATTTCAGAACATAGTGATAGCAGGCTGACCCAGGGACCAGGGAGTCTGCCCAGATATGGCCCCAGAACGCCCATTGCTCCAGAAGTCCCACCTGTCACTCAGAGGTACTGAATCAGATGACCCCCATTGGCTATTTTGGCTCCATAGTGACCGTAAGAAGGAATAATGGTTTCAGATCTACCCAGTCTTAGTCTTTCTCTTTCTACCTGTGATAGCTGGTCTCCAAAGATGGCCGCCCATGAACCATGGCTCCCAATATCCGTGTCCTCATCTAATCCACTCCCACACTGGATCTGGGCTGGCCCAATGTAAGCAATGAAATGCAACAGACGTGACACAACGTGACTTCCCATGCTAGCTGATGAGAAGCCTTGTAGTTTCTGCCTTGGCCTCTTGGAACACTTGCTGTGAGGGAACCCCGATGTCGTGTAAGAAGTCCAATTATCCTCAAGCCACCGTGATGTGAAGAAGCCCAAGAGATTCCCAGCCAGACCCAAGATGTCCTAGCCATCCCAGCCCAGGCGCGAGAGTGAAAAGGCCATCCTGGATGTCCAGCCTAGGTTAGACTTCATTGACTCTAGTTCCAGATGCCGTCTGTCACCCCAGATGACATCCGACTGCAACTACATGACAGAGAATCACCCAGCTGAGCCTGGTCAACCCCCGGAACCATGAAAGAACAGGGCAAATGTTTTAAGTCTCTACATTTTGGGGTGGTTTATTACACAGAAATAGATAACTGGAACATTAACCCAGGGAGGCATGTGGGGGCCACTCTCTGTGGATCAAGGAGAGAGTGGAGCTGTCACCCCTGCCCTCCAGTGGCTTTAATAGCTTCCCCAGATGTAGGGCCACCCACTGATACCAGCCCTCTCCACATTTGTCCTAAAAGAGCCAGAGAGCTTCCAGCCAGCTCTCCTGAGTACGGAGCCCATGGACCCCACTGGGGCTGGCTGCTAATTTCCCTGGCAGTGCACAGTGATGTTGGCAATAGGCTGGATGCTGTCATTTGTCATCTGCTTGAGTCCCCATTTCTCTACCCTAGAGCTCTGAAATGCCCTGCTGGTGCCTGTCCCAGGCATGAAGAGACCTCAGTGGGGGCACCTAGGAAAGATCTGGAAAGAGAACAGGCCTTAGGACTCGGTGCCCAGAAGAACCTCACAGGCCAGACTGGAATCCACCACACGCCCTGGCTCTCCCTGCCTGTTGATTCTGTGTTTTTTATGTTTTATTACTGGTGGCCCCGGGCCGAGGCTGCGCATTAAGTGTTGATGCTGGCAACAGGGGGCAGCATTTCCTGGGCTGTGTTTTGGGAAGATGTAATTTGGGAAGATTTATTCTCTCTGTATGCCCTCAGTTTTCCCCTCCTAACTCTGTGCCAGGGTCAAAACACAGCTTGCTTCTTGGGGAGTAAATTCCATCCTTACCCCCATGCCTGGACCTTTTGGAAGACAGACTAGCTCAGTCCATTGATGAAGCACTTTTCTCCCCAACATGAGCATGGTGTGGTTCCTCATGGATGTGACAGTCGTGCTCTCTAGAGTTCAGGGCCAGGGTCCCAAAAAGGCACTAGTATGTGACACTGAGGGATCAGCCATCAATACTGTTGGCAATGGGCCTATGATTTCCCCACTGGCTGTCACATTCAAGGGTCTGTTGCCAGTGTTACTGATGGTCTTCACCTGTGTTGACCCCAGTACTAGCCAAGACTACCCCACATGGTTAAGACCCGGAGGAAGTAGGGTAGGGCCTCGGGCAGGAATGATAAATGCAAAGTCTATTAATGCAATCTGTTTTAAAATATCAATCAATTCCTTAAACACATACACACACATACCCTGAATAATTTGAATGCATTTAGGCAAAATAGAATTACTTTTGATATTTCAGCTGGCCAAAGATTGAGGCAGTTTACAGGTCCCAAACACACCTGGACATTCAGGGTTTCTCCTGGTCTAGGGATCTGACCAGCAGCCGGCTCTCCATCTGTGCTCCCCGTGTACCAGTGGCCTGGAAAGCAGCAGCCCAATGACAGCCAGGGAGGTATCAGTAGGGCCAGCTGGAAATGGCCTCCTGGCCTGCCCCTGGCCAGTTCCCAGAGCCCACTCTGCACCACCCAGGGAGGTTTTTCTCTCTCTGACTCCTTTGCTTGCTCCCCAGTCCTGACTCCGATTTCACACTAAGGATGGAAAAACTGAGCCATGGGGAAGAAAACCAGTTAGCTGGTCATTCAGCAAAGAGCACGAGAGCCAGGTCAGAACCCAGGAGTGACCCTGGGGTCACTCCATGTCCAGGGGACATGGAGAGAAGCCACCAGTGCATGAGAATGCTGGGGAGGCTGTGGCAAGAGGACATTTAATCCAGCAAGGGTATCTCCTATGTGGATGAGTAGCCTTTGAGCTTGGGTCAGTGGCAGAAGACCTGCATCACGTGGGGAAAGTCACTAAGCTGCTTGGAGCCTGTCCCTTCCTCTTTAAGGCAGGTAGACACAAGAATATTCTGCTCTCTAGTAACCTCTTGCTCACTCTTTGGCGAATCACTTGGATATGAAAAATGCTTTGTAAAGTACATACGTGAGGCATCCTCACCATTATCCCGTGGCCAACAGCAACATCAGACAGCGCCTGGAGAAAACCCTCATACCAGCCTTCCACATTCTACCTGGCAAGTCCAGGAGAGATACTTTCCAGATTGCCGCCATCTTGTCCTCACCTCCCTGAAGGCGTATGCGGCTCCTCACATCTAGAGGAGAAGCCTAATCCCCTTTCTTGAAAACAGGCTGACCTCAGTGCCTGGCCAGTCCAATGTGGTGGAAGTCACATTCTAGGTCTTCTGCAGCTGGGCCAAAAGAAGCCTTGTAGCATCCCCCCCAGGCCTCTTGGAACACTCGCTTTTGGAATGCTTTCTTGGCTGCTCACTTCCATGCCACATGGAGAGGCCTCAGGGAGGTGTCAACAAGCCCAGCTGAGCTCCTGGCCCATGACCTGCATTAGCAGCTGGCCGTGTCAGTGAGCCATCTTGGATGTCCAGCCTAGCTGAGCCCTCAGACCCTCTAGCACGGCCGCCATCTGACCGCAACTACACGTGACACCCTAAAGGAGAACCAGCTGGCTGAGCCCAGTCAACCCTGGACAGAACCAGGTAAAATAATAAGGAATCATAAACCACTAAGCTTTAAAATGAAATATTTAACTGAAACAGCCCTTCACATACCTACAGGCATCTAGGTCCCCTGGTGCTCCTGCCTGAGCCTTAGAGTCTGACCTGCTTTATCTTCTTCCTGGTGTTGCCTCTTCTCTCTCTGTCCCTTGGCAGTGTTCCCCACTTTCTGCTGTCCCTCCAGATAAGCCCAGGGGTCTTTCTCAATTTATAGCTTCTATTACACGTTCCCTGTAGGGATGAAGGTGAGATAACAGAGTGAGAGCACAGGGAACTGACCTCAGGTGGATCCAGCACATCCTGCACACGCCATCCTAGCCTGAGGTGGTGACTTCCTCTGCAGATGACAACAGGAGAAGCTCCTGAAGACTTGCAAACAAACTCTGAGCTCCTTCTGGCCTCCATCCCCAAATCCGTGCCCCAGGAGCATCTTTGAGTAGAGCAGAGCGGAGATCCCCATGCGTGGCTGTGGGGTCTGGAGCATTCCTGGCTCTGCATGTCCATTTTCCAGCCAAGAGTCAGCAGTGCCGATCACCTCTGCACGCCTGCTCAGCTTTGAACTTCACTGCCCAGGAGCAGGGAGACTGGCCAAAGCACTGGCTTTCAGAAGTGCCTCCACCCACCAGGCTTTCTGGCCCTGACATCTGTGAAAGCGCCACAGTTGTTTGGGCTAATTAGCCACATTCAGTGAGACCAGGCCTATCAAAGGTTCCAGGCAGAGAGGTCGGCTCTGGGCTGAAAGGTGAGCTGTTTGTTTAAGGGCGGTGGGTGGTCTCTAGCAGGACTTTCAGATTAACCTAAGCCCTCTGAAAACAGAAAATGCAAAGTTGGGCAGCCTGGGTACCAATCAAGATAAGTGCAAGCCAGGCGTGAGGTCCCCTTTGATATCACTATCCCGGAGGGAAGAGGGGGCTGGTGAGGAGGAGGGAAGAGGATGGAGCGCAGAGTTCTTCCTGGCTCCAGCCACAGACCAGCGGGGCAGGCAGTCTCGGTGGGGTAAAGACACAAGACCTCCTGCAGCCCCACGCTGCATTTCTGGGGAGGAAGTTTCTGAAGCCCTGGCATTGATGAGCAATCCCACAGACCCCTGATTCCTTCCTATTTCTGGGAGCAACAGGAAGATTGGCCCCGGGGCCCTGGCTCAGAGTCCATTTTCCTCAACTTCCCATAGAACCCACACCAGATCCTGCTCTCTTCCAAGGAATCAGATCGTGGTCCCCTGTGGGTCCCCCAGGATAAGCTGCAAGGGTTTGCACATCCAAATCTTGCTGGAGGTCTCAGAACAGAAAAGAAAACCTAAGTGTTGGGGCTTTAGGGGGTTCAAAACATGACACCTTCCTTACACATCAGTAGGAAGACAAACGCAGGAGTCACACCGAAAGATGTCAAGACAACATCTCTGTTACTGGCAAAGCTGAGTGGAGAAGGTGGCCTCAGATGTGCAGCGAACTGGACCCGCCAGGTAGACATTTCCCCTCCCCCAGCCCCACGTGGTCAAGGCTGCACAGAATGAAGGCTTTCTGCAGGGAGGATGGGTTCCGAGACAGGGAGGCAAGTCTGAGCACAGCCTGGTAATTCCCGCTCTGAGCACCCCCGCACTGTAGCGGGCGGAGTGAGGCCTGGACCACTCAGTGGGGTCCCCTCTCCATAGAAGTATGGAGTCCGGAGAAACAAGAGCCTCCCCACCAGCAGACAGGAACCACCTAAGGAAAGCTGGAAGGTTCCAGGGAACTCAGATTCATCATCTTAGTAGGTCTGGAAAGTCTCCTCATCCCCTCAGGAGTAACAACATGCAGGAGTAGAAAGAACATGACCTCAGGGTCCCCAGGTGGGGCAGGTGGCCTCTTCGAGCCCAGTTTTCTCCTCTGTAACATGCGGTGAGAGTTCCCGCCTCACAGGAATGCTGTGGGAATTATTGAAGCTGCGTGACCCACTGTCCAAGGGGACCCCCCGTTTTGGGCAAACTTGGATAGTTGGTCACCCTGTTGAAAGCACCTGCTACACAGCAGGGGCAGGAATTATTTCCCGCCCTCCTTCCTCACACTTCTCTTTGGGCAGGGGAAGTTGGAGAATGCCTCAAGCAAGCATCCCTGGTAGACCCTCTCTCTCTCTCGGGTTTGTGCTGGAAGCTGCTCCAGGGAAGAGGAGGGGAGGGGAACAGGACGTTGGAACCCTCCAGATCCTGGGACAAACAGACTTGCATTTCAGAGGAATATTCCTGAGGCAACACCCCAAAGAAAGGCGAAATGGAACTACGCCCTGGGACAGAGCTAAGTACCTGTGGCTGAGAAAATGTCTGGACTTCCTTTAGAGGATGCCAGGGTGAAGCAAGAGGGCACTTGAATTGGCTCATCAACCGTATCACCATCCCAATCTCGGGTGCTGCGTGCCCCAAAGCCTTCCTTTCTGCCCTTGCAGGCAAGTTCCAGGTGAGAATCCCCCGCCGGCCCATGAGTGGACACTGCCATGGTGTCCTCCATGAGGCCAGAATGTCCCTGGAAAACAGGATCCTCTGGCATGTACACAGTCATTGCCTAGAAGCCAAATGGCCTTTCTGTTGCAAGTTCCCCACTAGATATCATCCCCTATCCTGCCACTGCCATCGGACAGAGGTGACCAGCTGTCCAGGCGTATGCTACAGGAGGGGAGCAGGCCTGCCCCTTCGCAGCAACACAGAAGCCTCGTGCAGCTGGAGGCCTTGGCTTCCACAGAGGAAACCCCTCAGGGCTGGCTGAGGGAGGCCCATTACAGCATTTGCGGTTGGAAAGTTCTAGAAGCCCCTATGTATGCACCACACAAGAAGGGCATTGTCAAGCTCCACCGTGGAAACCTGGGGTTTCCTGAGCAACCGCTGGGCTCTCTTTGTGACCATGGGAATGATGTAACCAATAAAGTCTCACTTTTGCTGCCAAGCTCAGAGTGAAGCTCAGAGCTCCATTATAGCATCGATGTTGGTCCTCATAGATGATAGATGAGTGTTGTTACTGAATCTTGCTTCTCTACTTTGACTTACTTTTTTCCTAGACCTGGTTTGTTATTTCTGTGATATCATAATATTATTATATGTATCTTTGCTAGAAGCCACCTCAGGTTTTTTTTTTTTGGAGGAGGGGAGATGACACGATGAGGGGTTAAATATGGTGACATTTCCTTGTCTCTCTGAAATGCTCGAGAATGGCTGGGTTTGGGTGTACCAAAACAAGCTTGTTGCTCTGAGTCCCGCACTGGAGAATCCCAATTCCACCAGCATCCTGAGGATTATGATCATAAAACCACAACCCCTGGAGATAATGCCAAAGGTAGCAATAGCAGCCCAGGCTTTGGATTAAAGAAATCGGGTTCCAAGCCTGGCTCTGCCTCTATTAACAGTGAGATGTTGGGCAAATCATGTCTATCGTCTTCTCTACCTTGGCTTTCCCCATCTGTAAAATGGGTCTCATACATCCTTACCCTCCGTCGTAGGGCTGAGATGAGCCGTACCCACCATGCCTGCCGTGGCGCCATGATAATCCCGTGACTTCCCCACGACTTCACACACAAGGCTCAGACATCTCACTAAACAGCTTCTCTCTCTCACTGCACAGGATGCCCATACACAGTCCTGGAAGGCAAATTTTCTCCCCAGCTGGCAGATGGGGGCACCAAGACTCAGAGGGCCGGTGACACAGCTGGAAAGTCTGAGTCTGAATCTGAACCCAGGTCCTGCCTCATCAACGCCCACGTTCTGGATTACAGAGCATATTTCTCCCCATTGTAGCTGGGGGACAACAAATGCCATCTCTGTCATTACCCATGGGGAGCTCTGTAGGCCCCCTGAGCTGCTTCTCCTGCCTGAGGACAGCCTGGCCCACCTGGACCCACAACAGCCACTGGGGAGCCTGCACCTCCCTCCTCAGCCCCGTGTGGCCCAACAGGGCAGTAAGCTGGGTGGATTCTCCGACTAGGCAGGCCACCTCTAAGCCTCAGGAGTAGCCACAAAGCAGGGGGTAAGGGGGCAGCAGCAGACGCAGAGAAGGCCTCAGCCCAGGCTAAGCCAGGGCTCCAAGCAGAAGTAGAAAGTGAGCGTCCCCAGGCCCACCCAGGAGCGCAGAAAGAAGCCCCACTAGGCCCCAGAGAGGGAACCTCAAACCTCAAACCGGGAGGGGTGGCCTAGGACTCCAGGTCCAGCCTTCTGCCTCCAGGGAAGCCTCGCCAATGACAGGCAAGATGCTCAAGCCTCTGCTGACTTTCTGGCCTCTAGGGACCAGGCTGTGCCATTGTGTGCGGAGCCAGTCACAGTCCGTCACTTGTAATGAAGCAAACTGACCGAGGGGCCTCTCCACCCCTCACAGCCTCTTTCTGGAGCCCCAGGGAGCCTCCTGACCTGGGCTGGCCAAGCCCCTGGGCTCCAGATGGCCTGGCCACCGGGGAGTGTGCATGTGGATATGTCCAGGGCACTACAGAGCATTTGCTTCATGACCCGGCTTACGGCTACTGATCGGCTCAACAAACCCAGACGACATCTCGCCAGTGTGCCATGGAAGCTGAGCCACGCCTCTCGGACCCTCAAAGGTTCTCCTGTCATTGGCCACAGGCAGGTCACGGATGAGGGATGTGGCTCGCCCTGGAGGCCCCCGGCCAGCAACCTGGAAATCACTGCTCCACAGATCAACCCTCACTTTCCACGCTCCTCAGCTTCACGTAATAATAATGGTTAATATGTCTGCAGCTCTTTAAAGTTTGTACCGTGCCTCATCTCCTATCCCTACCCTGTGAGGAGGCATTATTATTCCTAGTTTACAGAGGAGGAAGCAGAGACTGGGGGAGGCCAAGTGAGGGATCCAGGTCAGCGGGCCTCCAGCCGGCTCTTGCCCCGGTGGACAAGGGCATCCCTGTAAGGACCCGGTGCACCACATGGACTCTCAGCCTCTCACCCGGTGATCCCTCTGCCACTGCCAGCTGTTTCTCTAGTTTCCGGGCTGAATGACGATGCTCCCCTCCCCCCGCCTTCCGTGAAGATGAGGTCTGGGGAAATGCCCAGGATGAATGTGACATGCAGAACCCAGCTCACCTACACGGAGGCCCGGGAACCCGGATATGGCCCCTCCTGTGTGGGGTTTGGGGCTCTTTGGATGTCCCTTCACATGACACTCATTTTCTCATCCAGGTGAGAACCATCTGGACTGATGCTCGGCCCCTGGGTGACTCACTGCTGAGACTCAGAGACCCAGGATGGGCAAGTCCCGCATGGTGCTGGGTCCCAGTCCTGGCTGCTCCCTACTTGCCCTCCAGGAGGCCTTTGGAGAATCACCTAACTTCCGGGCCTGTTTCCTCACCTGTAAACGGGGGATTGCAGAGATGCTGTGGGATTTTGTGAGATGCAGAGGCAAAGCTAAGCCAGTGCTTGTGCCCATGTCCTCGGGCAAGGGGCCTCAGCAGCTGCAGTACGAGGATGGGGCCAGCACTGTAGTGGATCAGGGTTATTCCGTACTCAGAGGCCCAGGCCTCCTGCCACACACCACGTCACGGTGTACCCAGCCCCAGCCTCCTTGGGACAAGTGGGCAGATGGGGCCTCCAAACACAGCACAGACCCACAGAGGCACGTCCAGTGAGCAGCACTTTGAAGCTGCCACTTTGTCAGGAGGGAGGCCTGCCTGCGGTGTAGACAGTATGGGTGTGTCATTGGAAACAGATGCCACACCGGGGACCAAAATCCTTTCCCATTTTTGCCCGGCTTCCTGGACCTTTGAGACAATCCTCCAAGAAAATGCAGGCCAGATGGGGCAGGGACACAAACAGCTCTCAGGGGTGTAGCTGGAGCCCGTGCAGGCCACCCAGCTTCAGCCTGCCCTGAAGGGAGTGCCACCCTCCCCGACTGTGTCCTGACCCCCAGGCTGTGTGACCCCAAGGAAGTTCCTTAACTGTTCTGTGTCTCAGTTCTCTCTCAAGAGATGGAGACAATAAGAGCACGGACCTCCTGAGGATTAAGCTGTGAGGATTAAGTGAAATAATTAGAACAGCTCCTTCCATACCTGATAAACCAGCATTCAACAGAGAGCCTCAATTGACGGTATTGTCTCCCTCCCTGTGGGGCCTGACTCAGCCCCCAATCTCCATTTGATGAGCTTATGCTGTGTGCCAGGCAGTGCCAGGCGAGGGAGAGAGCAATGAGGGAGCCCCAGTCAAAAGGGGCAGACAGGGAATTGACCAGACTCTGCTGTCAGCAGATGTGTCAGAGCCAACATCACTGCCGTGGTGCCCTGACATGGGGCTGGCTGAGCAGGGGAGGGCGTTACAACCCAGGCCTTGAAGGCTAAGGCAGCCTTGGCCAGGCTAGATTGAAGTATTAAAGCTGCACCACCTCCTCAGCATCTTAGCCCCGAAAAAGGGAAGCCTTGTAGTCGCAGAAGCAGGCCTCCCAAATGGCAGTGTCCTCGGCCTTGGGGTTCAGGCAAGGAGATGCCCGTGGGTCGGGACCTTCTCCTGCCTCTCTTATGCCATGCCCAGTGGGGACGCAGACCCATGTGAGGTTGACCCTGGCCACAGAGACTGAGCCTGTGAGGTTTCCACCAAACTCTAACATCCTACCCAGGTTCAGAGAGGGCTTAGGACTGAGGCCCAGAGCTCTCGTCCACACGGCCCCCTTCTAAGCCCCATCCCCAGGCCACAGAGGCCCATATTAGGATGTCCAGGCTCCTCCACTACCTTCTGCCCTCAATACACGCATGCACGCACACACACGCGTGCGCGCGCACACTCACACACCATCACATGCTTTCTTTCCTTGGTCCTCCCCTGAATGCTGAGGATGCATCCCTGGGTATCCTCCTCCCGTGTTGTCAGTGAGCGTGTGCCTCAGGCAGCCAAAGTGGGAAGGGAGGCTCTGGGCCAGCCTGGCTCCTCGCTCCCTCTCCAGGGGATGTGACTGTGGCCCGCGGTGAGGGGTGTGGGCTCTGGCTTGGCCATTGTCTTGCCACTTTGAAGACTGATGTGGCAGCTAGCTCAGTGATGGCTGCATGCCACAGGCCTGGCCACACCACCTCTGCCACCTTTGCTGCTGGCCTCTCTGTGTCTGCCTTGCTGCCTCCTCAGCTGCACCCTCAAAAGGAAGCAGCTCTTGGGGTCCTCCAGGCAGTTAGATCTTCTTCAGAACAGGGACCAGGACCCAGAACCTTATTCTGGCCTGTGGGTAGCTGGGATGAGCATGCTGCAGTCAGCTCAAGAGCCGGCCAGCCAGCCATTGGTCCATCCATCCATCCATCCATCCATCCATCCATTCATCCATTCATCCATCCATCCATCCTTTTGCTCTCCCCACTCACCTTCTCTGAGACCTCTTAGGTACTAGGTGCTGGGAATGCCTGGGTCCCAGCCCTGCCAGGCTGTCCCATCTGGGTTCTCTGGGAAGCAGGCTCTGAGGCGGAGTTAGGAATATGAAAGGTTGGCTGGGGAGTAGCACCTCTGCAGGAGGGGCAGGGCACACGATTGGGCAGCGAGCGGTCAGGCTGTGATGCAGACATGACCAAGTGTCTCCCAGGCCCAGAGAACTCTGGAGCAGAGACCAGAAATTAGAGGAGACCCCAGTGGGAAGGAAGAGCTATGCACTGGTACCACTGCCTTCCTCAGCTGCGAAGGGGGCTGTGCCAGGAGGAGTGTGAGCAGGCAAGGAAGCAGTCAAGGCTATCAGTTAACCACACCTCTGGCAGCTGGGCAGCAGCAAGCCCTCCCTTAAGGGGGCACCTGCAGTGCCCCTCAGAGCCTGCCCCGGTGGCCCTACAGAGGAAGGCGAGATGCAATTATGACACAGCCTCATCCCAGGAGCCAGTGACCGAGGCGCTAAGAAGATGCCAGAGGCACTGGCCCTGGGGGGACAAGGAAGCTTCCTGCGAGCAGCAGCTAAGATCTGGGCTAAATGGTGAGTGAC